AATACTCATCTCCAATTTACTGTATATTATATAGTATTTTGTATAATAAAAATGTAATAAAATCAATATTTTAATTAAAGGTAAACAAATCAGCCCATATGAATAAATGTTTTGCTTGAAATATCTTATTTTCCAGCACCACATACTGCCCAAGCAATTACTGAAGCTATTAAAAAGGCTATTCAAAAATGGGAAATTGAAAGTCAGGTTATATAAATAACAACAGATAATGGAACTAATATGGTAGTTGCTATTCGAAATTTAACACCAATTAAAAGACTCTCCTGTGCTGCCCATATTGCAATTAATAAAGGTTTAAAGGTTGTAGAAGATTTAGTATTACATGTAAAATTTTTTTTCTATTCAAAAACAAATTGAACAGCTGATTAAAGTTCAAAAAGATATTGGTTATGAAGAAACATACCATTTAATACAAGATATATCCACTAGGTAAATATTTGATTTAATTATTAAAATTCAATATATATTTAATTTTAATTACTAAATTTGGTATAATTTGCATTTTATTATTTAAAGTGGAATTCTTCTTATTTAGCTTGGGATCAGCTTATTTTTCTTCAATATGCAGTACTTTAATTAAATATAAATTTATCTTGTTTTCTCAAACCTGAAGAAAAAACTGATGGTAACAGATTGAAAAAATTTATATTAAAGGATAGCAAATGGGAATTATTAGATGAATTATGTAATATTTTAGCACCATTCAAAAAAGTTACACAAGATTTTTCTGGAAGTACCTATATAACATTAAGTCAAATATTTTCCATCATTACAAATCTTACAAATTCCTTAAAGCCAATTGATAATTTACATGAGGAAAATGAAGATTCTGATAATAATACTATTACAGAAGAAAATATAACTAATCAGCAAACTGAAATAAATTATAATAATATTTCAGAAGTTTTAAAAAATGTAAAAAAAATATATATATATGGGTTTAAAGCACTATTGGTCAATGCCAGATGAGTTTGATATTATAGCAGCACTCTTAGACCCTCAATATAAAGACCTTCAATTTATATTTGATGAAAATATAAAAGTAAAAATTCATTCAAATTTACAAGTACAATATAATCAGCTAAAAAGAGAAATGCAGCAACAAATTAGTACTCCACCATCACCCACAATTTCAACAATTTCAACTACTTCTACTAATACAAGTTCAACTCCCAGTACAAGATCTTTACATAAGTATAAAGTGAGATGTGAAAAATCAATAAGAAAAGTATTTCAAACAACAGAAACATCTACTTCATCATCAACAATATCTGACGAAATTACTACTTATTTTCTTTTGCCAGTTGCTAGAGAAAATAAAAATCCATTATATTAGTGGAAAATTAAACAGAAAATTTTTCCAATTCTTTCCATTATTGCACAAAAATACTTAGGAATTCCTGCTACCTCTGTTGCTTTTAAGCAGTTTTTTTCTGATGCAAGAAACCATATTACAGCAAAAAAAAGTTTATTGGATCCTGGTTTAGTAGGTAAAATAGTATTTTTAAAACATAAGATGCAAACCATGGATTATATTAATGTATTTTCACTAGACTTAGATGTGGAAAATAATGATTTTGTGGAGGATGAGGATGTGTTAGAAGAAGTAATAATTGATTAACATTAAATTTATTTTTATATTAAATTAAATATTTTATTTTTATTAAGTAAAATATTTTTTAAATAAAGTAAATAAAGTGAATTTTACTTTATTAAGTGAAATGATGAATCTTTAATAATATTTATATAATTTTGCTCTTATCAAATAATTCTATTTTAAACAGTATAATGAAATAAATGCTAAACATGATAAAATAATTTTATTAGACGAGTAATCATGCAAATTGTTGATATTTTTTTTATTTAATAAATTAATTAATAGTACGAATCCCAGTAAATAGTTTTTTATAAATTTATACCAAACGGGCTCATTGGCTTAAAATTAGCTCAAATTTATGCAAAAAATAATTCAAATTTAAGCCAATCTAAGGCCAATTATATATGGATAAGCCAATTTGGTACAAATTCATACAAAAACTATTTACTGGGAATAGAATATTTTAAAAATTGAAAGAATAAAATAAATCGTCAAAAAAAAATATTATTATTTAATTTTTTTTATCCAGATTCTGGGTCAATCCAGATAATTTTTAACCGGATATTTATCCAGATAAAAACCGCAATTATCCAGATATCCAAAAAAACAAATTATTCAGATTTATCCAGTTGAATCTGATTACAGATTGAAGCACTAAATATAATACATTCTATAATTAATTTGCATAGACAACAGAATGCCTATTTAATGAAAAAATTATCTAATAATATAATATACAGTATATATTATTTATAAGAATAACAAATAGTTTGCAATTTAATAATATTAGTTTAAATTTAGACTCATATTACATTTGTATATATATATTTTTTTATTTAATTTTAATAATAAAAAATATATATATATTTATTTATCATTATATTATAAATTCAAATAAAATATTATTATATAAAGTGTAAATTATAATAATTAAAGCAATTTATAAGTTTATATTTTAAATTTTGCATTTTTTTAAGAAAAAAAATTATTTGTCTGTTATTTAATTATTTACTTGAAATTATAATAACTTTTATTTTAATGAATTAAAAGTAGAATGTATTTACGCCACAACATATATACAATAGTAGACTAAAAAATGTAGATCATTACGTGATTACAAAACGAGCAAAAGCAGACGAAAAATTTATGATTTCTCACAAACTACCATATGAATTTTGTTAAATACACATTTAAAAAGAGTATACATATGCACTTCATTTTATTTATTAAAATATTTAATCATTTGCTATTAGTGTTTTTAAGTGTATTTGGACTTTTAAAAGCGAATATGACTAATAATAAACAAATAAAATGGTATTAATAAAAAATTTTATTTGAATAAGTAATGCACAATGATTTTTTGATACAAAATATTCTTTTTTATTATACTATTAGCTTGTAAAGTTTTATAAGTTTCAAGTTGATTTGAAGATATGTTCTTTAGGTGATTCGCAACTTACCATAGGAGATTCACAACTTAATGACAACTTCATAGTGTAATATTTTGTCATAAACCTTATTTGTACTATACTTTGCTAAAGTTTATTTGAAAGACAGAAACTCTAGCTTTCTAAAGAGTACTTTTAAACAGTTTTACATAGAATATTGAGGGAGTTTTCTTTATATCTAAGTAAAAAAAAAATGATTTTTTTTTTTTAGCCATATGATCAGCCATGTCGATCTCTCTACCTTTAAGATAATCACTATTATTTTTAAAAACAATAGAATTCTTTTCTTAGTAAATTGGCTCATTTTTTTAAAAATTAAAAATTAAGATAATTAAGATTATGAAATTATAAAATTTTTTAGTAAGTAAAAAAAGCAATTTTGCAATATCAACAAAAAATAATTTTAACAATAATAAATAACTTTAAAATAGTTTTTTTCTATTAAAATAAAAACTTTATTATGCAAAATAAAATTAAAACTTAATTTGTAAAATCGAGCCAATTAAGGTTCATTATATAACTGATGGGTTACTTATTGTCATTTAGCATATAAATTATGGGAGGCTATTCTGATCAGCCGATATGATTTTATTAGAAAGTAAAAATTTCAAATTCTATTTAAAGTACTTTAAGGTTTGTGTATACTTTAAAATAAAATATATACTTACATGAATGTTAAAAACAAAAATTTATATATGCGACACATGCACCACAGGGACCTAATTCTCGTATTATAAAAATTTAAAATTCAATATATCCCATGAGTTCTTTATAATCAAACTCCTCCTCATTCGATAACGCATCCAATGTCCAATTAGCTGAACTAGATCTTGGACATGGGCTATATCCAAAGATTTCTATTGATAAAAAAAAACGCGTAAAATTAACTTATTTTTTTTTGTTGATAATTTAAATTTATTGAAATAACTTGCCTTCTATATTAAGCGGAAGGGTTTGTCCAAAAATAATCTCAGGATCAATTGTTCTCTGATATATTAAAGTCGACTTTAATTCAGGACTCTGTTCCCAATCATTATGTTGTTGTTGATATTTGGCCCTAATTTCATCTTGATCATCTTGATCACTAAGTTTACTAATATAATAAGAAATTAGAATGGATGAAATAAATTAATATTTTCAGATAATGAAAAATCATACATACTTTCTATTTACTGCCGGGACTTTGTCGAATATGTCTTGCAATGTTCTTTCATGTTCATCAAATTGTTTAGAATGATCTACTGGGACTACATCGAATATATCTAATGTTATTTCTTGTTCATCATCATCAGATTGGTTTTCTGGTACTTTGTCGAATATGTCGAATGCTTTTTCGTGCTCATCAGATTGGTCTGCTGAGACTTTGTCGATTTCGTGTTCATGAGATTGGTCTGCTGGGACCTTGTCGAATATGTCTCGCAATGTTTTTTCATGTTCACCAAATTGTTTAGATTGGTCGACATTTAACACAGATTTGGTTTGTCCTAAAATTTTGGTCTTTTTTTTTATATAAAGTAATAAACGATGATTAGTAAGATATTGATAAATCGGAATATTAATAAGTCGGTCAGTTTGCTATTTACTTTTTTTGTGAGAACCAAGGGTTTGATTTCTGATCCCGGTGCACGCGCACGCAATCTTTTTGTCCAAATTGTAGCTGTTTCACTATCGGTAACTTGGTTGGGAAAATTTTCCTGTGTAGTTCTTAATGAGCGCGCACGTTGCTTCTGAGCCGTATTTGTATTGATTTCTACGTTATTACAAATGGAAACAGTTTCTCTAACGGTA